GGGGATCTCACTGCTAAGCATAGTTGGAAGGGTATGCAAGGGACTACTAGAACGGAAGCAGATCTTGTCAGAATGAGTTTATCCTGAGTCACATTGTGGCTTTAGGGTAGGTAAATCTACAACAGATGGTTTTCACCTTACAGCAGTTTCAGGAAAAGAGCGGAGAACATAAAGAGTCCCACTTCATAGCTTTTATCGATATGACCAAGAAGTAGCTTGTTTGTCATACTAGAGAATATTGGCTGTCCAAATTAGCTATGGAAACTAGTGTTAGCTTTTCATGATGCAGGGCACTTTACAGTTTGATAATTCTGCATCTATGCCATTCTCCATTAAGAGTGGAGTACAACAAGGATGTGTTTTGGCTCCAACACTATTCAGTATTTTCTAGTCACTCACCAGTGCCTTTAAATCCCTGGAAAATGGCCTATATGTATCCACAGTAGATTTGATGGAAAACTTTTTTATTTTAACATGGCTCGAAGCCAAAAGAAAAAGACAGCAAATCTTGATTAGTGAACTGCTGTTCATGATGATGCAACTCTCAACCCCCATTGCCAAGAAGCAATACAAATGCTTTGGCTGCCTCATGTCAGGAGTTTAGCCTCACCAAGACTAAAATTCTAGCACAAGACGTCACAGAAATACCTGAGATAAGTACTGGAGATCACAGGCGCAAGAATTTACCTACAACAATTGCCAGCTTTCTAAACTTTAGAAATTGATATGACCAAAAGAAGTGGAAAGGCTAATGAAGTAATGGCAAAAACCTCCAAACATGTCTAGGATAATGACAAACTGTCTGCAGCAACCATGCTAGTCTACAACTCTTTATAGTGAGCATGCTTCTTTATGGTAGTGAGAGCTGGTCAACATAATGCATTAAGGGCACAGATTAAATAGTTTTCACTTACACTGTGATGCATAATGTGCATCTCCTGGAGGGATCTTGTCTTTTATCAGCTCAGTTATTTATGCTCTTTTAGCACAGAGAAGACTACATTGGCCCATACATGTCATTTGCATGCCAGATGGAAGAATTCCTAAGGAAATCCTCTATGCTAGATTTGCAAATAAATCATAAAAAGTTAGACTTGATCCATTAGTGAAAGAAAATAAAATTTGGACTACCAAAAAATAAATTAAAATAATTAACATGTCAACTCTTTACTATTATTAGAAACTCTGAGTTTACAATCTTCAAGACAGTACATTAGAAATCAAAGTAGTTAATAGTGTATAGAAGTCTAGAATAAATAGTCAGACTGTAAGTGAAAATAGTCTTCATTTTCATTGTCTGTACACTAAATACGTTTTGCAATGATTCAGGACTTGCTGGACTCTGAAGAAATCCTTCTTCCAGAACTAGTCCGAATTCACAGTACCTGGGCTCAGCACATTAAGGTGGATTGTCAGGTAAGTGGACAACAAGTAATTTGTTGAGTTGTTTATAAGTTGAGCAGACAACTAGCTGAACTTGTCATGACATCATCCACTATGGATAGCCCAATTTATTTGTTTCAAAAAAGTAATTGTCTTCATTGCATTAGAAATAGTGCAGAATGCAAATGTAGGATAAATTGTTAAAGAGTTCAACAAGGTTTAGGATTAATGAGTTGTTTTAATTACTTATATCAATAACACATTTTTATTACATTCATTTACTTTAATAAGATTTTTTATGGAGATTGCCAATTCATAGATCTAATTATAATTTTATATTCAGCTTTGACTCTATGTGACCAAATGTAAAATTGTATTTTAGAATGAAGCATGTCATTCATACAATATTCAATCACTACAATGGAGTCTTACATTCTTTGTCATTGCTCAGATTTGAACCAGCTCTTCTCAATGAAGAGGCTAAAAAGCAAAATGTGTAAGCCACTGAAGTTAAATGGTTAGAGTAAACATTATTTTTAAATAATTTATAAAGGGAAAAAAAACAAAAGCTCTCTATCATTATTATTCATATATTTTTAAATACTGTTTGTTTGTTTGTATGGAGATTAATCAGAAGGTCATTTATCCAAGTTAAATGTGAATACTTAATGCCTTGTATGTTGTAATTATATTTTCAGGCAGAATTTGTTTTCAATAACAATAATTAATCATGAATTTTATGTCACAAGAGCTAGCATAAGAAAATATATGCATAGAAAATTGTTTTTCGTAATATGAACAATTTTGTATTCGTGTTAGTGACAAAATGATAAATGTATGGTAAACTCTGAGTAGAATGTTCCTGCTAGACAATGCTAGTGCTTAAATTAAAATGAAATGTAATTAAAATTAAAATTGATTTAAACATGATACATTTGTCGAAATGGACAAAGTAATAACTTGTTACTAAACTAAGTGAATCGCAATGTATACCAGTTTAATAACTTGTTACTATACTAAGTAAATCGCAATGTATACCAGTTTTATCCTCTCTCACCTACTAGAATTCAGATACTTGTATTTCTACCATCTCTTTTTATTTGTTCTCAAAGGGAGCTGTGAAGTTTAACCTTTGCCTTTAGGGCATTAGTTAGTTGGACCTGATTCAGCTTGGTTTGCATTAGTATTGAGATTCTTTGCCTTTCTTTTAGCCATGTTATTCCCTGTACTCTAAAAAAAAAAGTTGTAAAATATTTTACATGTTTTGGATGTTCCTTCAGAGTTGAAGATATTTACTTCCTAGTCTAAACCTCCCGTAGGATGACTGGGGATTGGAGCGGGCAGGGTTTGAATCCAGGACCATCGATAAGTCCAAATGACTGTCCCCAAACTGCGCAACCAGGCAGTCATCCAGCAGCCTCTAGCTGGAAACATCACCAATACTTGCAACTCCTCAATATGGAGATTAATCAGAAGGTCATTTATCCAAGTTAAAGGTGAAGTAGACCTTTAGTGTAACTTTTTGACTATTCTGTTCATCATAGTGCACTCTTCATTGAAGATAAATTTAGCCAGTCTAGACATCTTGTGGATAAAATCTTGTTCATGCTCCAGAAAATAAAATATGTCGTCAATTTTTTTTTAACTAAATCTTTTACATGTTTCATTTATTATTATTGAAATGAAAATTGAATTCATTTTCATTCAGGGGCACTGTCAGGGTCGACCGTCGTTAAAGAGAAACATTTCATTGTAGTCCCCTTAACAGGCTTGTCTTTGAGTCCGATGATAAATTAGAAGTGCAGTATTTCACATGGCTATGCAGTCCCTACTGGGACCTACATATTTTGCCACATTCAGCACAGACATAACCCTTGTCCAGTTGATTTAGGTTCTCTTTTTGCTGTCTGCTTCTATCCTCAACAGTGGATTTCCTTTCGTCTTAGATGTGTCTCCCACAGCTTTTGTAATAAATCTTCAGCTGTTGCATTTGAAATCCGCCTGCTGCCGGGTGCTCTCTATGTCAGTTAAAGCAAGTTGGTGCCTTAGCTGGTTTTTCAAGCATTTCTAGGGGTAGGCACCTTTGTTACGCTGACCACCTTAATTATTATTGTTGGTGGTTTCAAGAAAACTTGCAGAAATCTGTTTCATACTTTCCAAACTTTAGTATTTGAATGTTAGATCAGTTAGTTGCTGTGCACCCAATGTAATATTATAATATGTCAATCTCTACATTTCCCTTTAGCTGTGTCAAGGTCATGGATTTTGCTGTGAGCTGTGTAATAGTCCAGAAATATTGTTTCCCTTTGATAATATTGCCGTGGTCTGTCCAAATTGTAGCTGTGTAACTCACAGGTAAGGATTTGAAGTTGAGCATTTACTAGGCCATTTCTAGGACCACCACTATTTAACTATTTTTAGGTTGTAATTATTCTTCATAGACACTTTACCAACATTACTGAGGGTTTTGAAGTATTTTGCTGTTCTTTAATGTAAAAAAAAATTTTTAAATATGTAACACACCGAAATCTTGATTTGTGTTCAAACTATATTTTAATGATAAAAAGACATTTTACAACGTTGGATAGTCAAGCATTAACTAAAACTGTTTCTTATTATCCCCAGACATTGTGCTGCTAAAAAGCTGGCATGCCTTCGATGTGAAAGGAGAGATAAGCGTCATGCGGAAATATTATGATTTTATTTTTGTAATTGATTGACTTTGTTTTTTAGCATCACAATTTTTTTTACACTATGAATGTCAGTAGTTAATTAATTGCTTGTCTGGACAAGCTGAAGCTTAAAATAGAGGCCAGGTTTCCACAAAATTGCTATGATGCTATTCACATGATTGTCAGGCCATTGCCACCTGATTTTTAGGCTAGGTTTATCATGATAGTTTTTGAAGTGGACTAAAATATGCATTTGATTTCAATACTCATCTCATCTCTGCCTGTGGTCCTGTCTGGGTGAGTCTCTAACTGTCCCCACATTTTGCCCATCTGCTTGGCATCTGCTTCCAAATAATAATAATAATAATAATTTTATTTATAAAGCTCTGTTAACAAACAAAATGTACCTCAAGGCGCTGTAATAACATTACAAACACAGACATGAATGCTAAACAGACAGTTAATCTAAAAAAGTTTTAAACAGATAGGTCTTAATGTTCTTCTTAAAAGTGGTTCTTTTTTTATCTTTTACAATGACAAAGCAAGTTTTTTTTTAATGTTGAGGCTTGTGTACACACAAAAATCAACTAAAAGTATGAAAGCTCTATTTAAGAAGTTGTTACAGTCATTTTACGATTGGTCAACATGTTTATAGTGAAATCTATTATTATTATTATAGCTTTTATGTAGCGCTACTTTCATGCTTATAGCATGCTCAGAGCGCTTTTGGTCCAATCTCATTTATGGATCAGTGGGGGAGAGGGGGTAACAAATCACTGCAGATTATCAAATATTCTATAGAAAATTAAGAATCTTAAAGTTAGATTGATTTTAACAAGAAGTTCTGTCTGGTTCCTAATTTTAATAGCATTCTAACACTTTCTTCACTGTAGTAGAAATATAAAAATGGAATAAAAAAAAAAAAAGAGAAATATTTTCTCTAATTGTGTAAAAACAAAAGGAGAAAAGACTGTCCCTCTTTCTAAAGGTCATCAAGGACACAAATACAACTCTTTCAAAGTTCTAATCTTTTCAAAATAATACATTGTGATGAGATGCTTTCTACTTTCTCTAGATGTTTAATTTTTACTTAATCATGATCAATTTTTACAACATTCGGTGAATTTTATTTTTGGCATCTAGATTGCAGAACTCATCTATTTTCATATACTGTACATTACAATATGGATCTAGTTATTAGTCCTAATGCCACTCAGTAAACACTATTCAAACTATTCTCGAATTTAATGTACTATTCTACAATATTATGGATTACAAAAATAAGAAACCATTCAAATATTTACTGTTTTGTTGGACTATGTGCCTTATGTGCAATAAATATTTAAGCCTCTTGTCTTTTTGTTTCTTAATCATTTTTTTTCTAAGTTTTTGTCAGTTACAATATTAGCTATAGTGAAGTGATATAGTTATCATACACACAAAAAAAGCAAACTTATCAAAACTTAAATCTAAACAAAAAATGTAATGGTTGAGTTTACTCCTGAATATGAATAATAAAGTTATAATGAGTTATTACATATAACTATCTTATAAGACATGGTCCACTGACATGAACTCTACATAAATGTGATCAAATTCATTATTTCCTAAACAATAGAAACTATGACAATATATTTACACATTCAATACCAAACAGTTAATATATCAATACACCCCCATCTCCATTTTCATCTGCATTCTTTTAACTAAGAGGAAAAATATTTGTAGACTCCAGAATCTCTGCAGCTTAAAGTTGTACCTGTCCCCTAGTCTGTTTGACCGTTGGGGCACCACACATGATCTACTGACGCCTAAGTTGTCTGTCTTTTGCCAGGATTAGAGTCTCTTTTAATTATTGCTTGTCTTTGCTTTATGTTGTCTTCGTTGTTATTTTTGTCTACCTTTCCTTTTTTTCTTTGGTACTGTTCTTTTCAGTAAAGTCGTTCACTTACTTAGACTTAGATCCTCCCGCGCCGTTCGGTGCATTGGACGGTTAGCTGTCTTCGCAAAGATCTGTCACTGGCAATGTCTGAAGCCTCTTCCCACCTGGTATCTACTGCTCTAGGGTCCTCCGTGAAAGTGTGGCGCCAAGTTATATGAGGTTGTCCTTGTTCGCGCTTTCCACGAATCGGCCTCCGTGTCATCGCAACTCTTGGTAGGCGTAGTTCATTTTGTTGGAGGATATGTCTTTCACTGTGACTTAGTTTATAAAACCAATTGGAAACTACTGATAGACACATGCCTCGTATGTTAAGTCGTGATCGTTTTTTCATTGTCTATCTTTAGTCGTCTAAGGGCTATCAACAACACAATCTATTGCTGGGAACGCTACCAGATGATAGGATCAAGTTTTCAAAGTTGTATCACGAAACGTGATTATTTACGTCTGAGACACTACCTTCAATAACATGTTTTTACTCCTGGGGCGTAGCTAGAAATTTTCCATCGTTTTGGGGGCTTAACCTCTTTGTGATCCCCTGCATTTTGTGTAATGTTTAATTTTTTATTTAAAAAAACACTAAATCGGGGGCCCGGGGGGAATTTCAAATTATACTCCCCCACCCTAGCTACGACACTGTTTTTACTCTTCGATTAAATTATCTAGAATTAGCAATTTAACTAATACATTTTATGAAGATATTTTTCTCAAACGGTTAAAGTGATTTGAAGGTTATGAACATTTTGTTACAATGTTTCTGTATTGTTAATTAGGTATTAAAGAATCAAGGCAACAAATGTCAATGTTGGGCCGTACACTTTTATTCAATCGTCATTGGGCGCCATCTTGGGCAGAACTGCTTGTTCACAACAAAAAACGCATAACTCATAATGTTATAATAGCTAACGGCTATAACTTACATATATCAAGTATTAACATGTATCGTATAGAGTTATACACAGGAACTGTGTTCAATCTGTTGAATAATAAAACATTTTTTCCCCTCAATTTTGTTTGTATATATATATATACGCTGCCTACATTTCTAAAACATATTTGAGTTATCTATTATAATCATAAGGCTTGTCTCCGTGTCCAAAGAACAAAGAGAAGTGCAGTCACGTGGCAAAGAAGTCTTAGCTGTGACCTACATATTTTGACGTAACCATTGTCTGCCGATATTGTTTTAGGTTCTCTTTCACCTACGTCTGTCTTGCTGGTCTAATAATAGACTAAAGAAGCTTTGTAAACAGAAGGAATACCTATATAGAAAATTTAAAGAAACTAAGGCAGAAAGAGTTTATAAAAAGTACATAAAAATTAAACACCTAACCCAAAAAGTAGGCAGACAGTTGCAGAGTGAATACATAAGCAATGTAATATCTGAAGATAACAAAACCTATGGTCATACATTAAGTCTAAGAAAATGGAAACAACAGGCATGGCGTCACATGTTTTATTCGCACAACTACGTCATTCGTTTGATTCCAATATTACGTCATTCGTTTGATTCCAATATTACGTCATTCGTTTGATTCCAATACTACGTCACTCGTTTGATTCCAATACTACGTCACACGTTTAATTACAATACTACGTCACTCGTTTGATTCCAGTACTACGTCACACGTTTGATTTCAATACTACGTCACACGTTTGATTCCAGTACTACGTCACTCTTTTGATGCCAATACTACGTCACACGTTTGATTCCAATACTACGTCACACGTTTGATCAAAAACACCGTGTGACATGTCTGATACTAACAACTACGATCTCGTGTTTGATCCCCACAACTAAAAAGGTTTAGATGATAGTGAGCAAATAGATGCTATCTTATTAGATTTTTCTAAGGCTTTTGACAAAGTTCACCACCATAGTTTGCTTAAAAAATTAAAATATTTTGGCATTGATGGTTCATTGCATTAGTGGATTAAAGATTTTCTGATAGGGAGAGAACAAACTATAATAATAAATGGCTCCAATTCAACCACAAATAACAGTAAACTCCAGTGCACCTCAAGGACAGCCTTAGGTCCACTACTGTTTTTAATTTACATAAATGATTTACCAAATTGCATTAGTTCAGGAACAAAAGTCAGATTATTTGCAGACAATTGCATAATATATAGAACAATAAGAACAACACAAGATACAGACATTTTTTAAAGAGAATTAGATGAATTACAGAAATGGGAATCAATTTGGAGCATGTCTTTCCACCGAGAAAAATGTCAGTTATTAAGAGTAACAAAAAAAAAAACTAATTAATTCCAATTATCTTATCCATGATAAACCAGTAACACAGACTAAAAACGCAAAATACCTAAGTGTTATAATAAATGAAAAACTATAATGGAATCCCCATATTGATGAAACTATCAAAAAATCAAACAAAGCATTAGGATTTATTAAAAGAAATTTCTATAAATCAAATAAGAGCATAAAACTAAAATGTTATTAAATTTAATAAAATACTCAGAAAGACACAAAGGCACATTCACATCCCATATTCTAGGACAAATTTGTACAGATTCTCCTTCTTACCTCGCGCTATTAGAGCATGGAATGGGTTGCTTGAGCTAGCCAGGAAAACCAGTGACTGGGCAGAATTTAGGTCATTGGTTAATATGCATGACTGAATACATAACGCGTAGGACGTTATCATCTTCTTTTTTGAAGTAACGTCTGTATTATATACTAGTCGACCGGCGGCGTAGCATACGCCGCTATTTTGCAGGGCCGGCCTTAGGCCACTGCAACCTATGCAACCGCAGGGGGCCCCGCTTTTTCATAGGACCCGCTCTAATTCAAGGTTTATAAATTATATAATTAAACCGTATAATAACTTAAAACAGATTTCCCGCGCCCTCCTGTCGATTTACCAGGAGCTCCTGGAAATCTCCCGAAATATTTCCAAAAATTCCTAAAAATATTTGGAAATATATCAACAAAAATTGTCATTTTGGGGTGCCATTCATTATGGAAAACGCCAATCCTACGCGCGATACATAAAAACGGCATTATGCATTAGGCGTAATTGTGTAATTCGGTGAAAGAAGCTTCTCGCTTTCATTTATGTTGTCAATCAGTATTCAATTTTACATTTAGATCTATATCGTAATTTTAAAGGCCTATTATTCATTCTCCTTGGATAAAATCATTTCAACTTCTTCAATGGAATGATCTATATGAGTGTGGTGGTGGTTAAAAAAAAAGTAAAGTTCCCCTTTCATACCTTATGGTCTATAGGGCAGATGGTGGAAAGGTCATCTATTTCATTTACGTTGCCATTGAACCTATCGCAATTAAAAGATTTAACTCTATGTATTCATTTGGTTTCATAACTTGTTTTTGCTTTCTGTTTGTTACTTCTAAGCATAATTTCGCATAATTGTTTTTTTTATCATACAGATTCTGTCATGTCTCCCGAACGTGACATTCTGATGTTGTTACATTCTCACATATTTTTTTTTATTATTATTTCGTATTTAAAAAAAAAAAACATTTTTTAAGAAAGCATGATTCTAGTACAACGGAAATCGTGACCAAATTTATCCAGACGTCATTACTTTCAGTAAGATGCTGTATTTAGATGCAACTATATAATAAGGCCCTTGCTGCCATGGCAGTTACATCTTACAAACATCTATTGAACAAATCACAAGGTAAAATGTCTTCCTTGAATTAGCGCTTCATTCTTTTCTTTGTTATATTTAGATATAGACTTTAAAATAATCCGAAAATTTAGAATTTTTCTTTTCAAGAATCTGTTCATTATAAGAGATTTTGTTGTATTTTTGTTGCCATGTATGTTTAAGTTTATCAATAAGCTCAATAATGAATTAATTAAATGTTCTCATTTTTTTTTTATTTGCCAGATTTCTTTAGTTTAGAGGCCTAATAATTCTTGTAAAGTCAACATCCCTTTACAGTCAATTTTTTAAAATAGTTTACACATGAGTTTACATCTATATAGAACCGATAGCCAAGTTATAGGCCTATTTGTAAAGTGATATCGCAATGCACATTGGGACGTAATTAATTACCCGAACTTTAAATTATGTCATGATCTCAAAAAACATCAATGAACAAAGTCTAATCTATTTTTTCTTTCAGAAAATGTTTTTGCTCCAAGTTTTTCTTATTGCCTTGCCTGTGTTGGCTCTGGCTCAGACACAAGACCAATATCAACAGATGGCTCATTCCCTTTTCTTGGAGTCAGACACCAATAAAGATGGTATCATTGATAGATCGGAGATCGACGCCAATTTCAACGTAAGCTCTTTTTGTCTCCTTTCCCTGCACTGCTCTAGATCTAGTTGCTGGTGTAAGAAGTGGGCATCAGTTCTATTAAGGTCTATTTAGAAGTGAACATTTTATTGCAACAAGAGACAATGTGTCCTTCATTCTA